CCAAGTTCTTGGATCGTGGACACAAGGCTTAAAGGCCTGTGTCCACGATGCTAGAATTTGATCAAAGTTCTAGTTCCGAGAAATGTGTAGCCAATGAACTTGTAGTTTTTATGGAATAGCTGCGAGTTGATTGGCTACACATTTCTCGAAACTAGAACTTGGACCAAGTTCTTGGATCGTGGACACAAGGCTTAAAAGAAAGGCAGGGAAATCTTTACGGGACATTAGATCCTTGAACTTCCTGAAGCTCTTCTCAGTGTAATAGCCCGCCTCGTCGGCCCCACCTCGATTGAGCTTGAGAATTATACGCGCCATGAGCCGGGCTGCGTCCGGCAACACTCTCGGCGATACCTTGTCGAGATGCGCGCACTCCGCCTTGTGTATCCGCCACGATTCCCTCTGGCAATTGCGGTCGCAGTAATAGACGTACTGGCAACCCGAGCACTTGGACAATTTCCCGCTGCAACGATAAATCGCACTACACTCGTCAGGCGCTCCAAGTGGCACACACGCATGCATTGACATTTCACAGTGATTTTACTTGTACAGAAAAGTAATTCGCACTAAAGTAGCCAATTTAAAATAGCCGAGAAAATCGCAGAACGAGTGCCGCAAGTTTGCGAGCTACTGTTCTGTACCTCCTCAGACAATTGTCACATCGAGTAGTCCTGTGCTTCGAGCCAAGAACGAAGACGAATGGTCTGCCCGTGAAGATCGTCGTTCCTCTTTTCACGCCGCTCATTTTTCAAGCACAGGCGCGAATTACATTTACGAAACATCCGCTTCTTCCGCACGTGAGGCTTCGAAAGCGAGACCCAACCTAACCTCGTTGCTCCCGCTCTCGACGAACGAGACACCGGTGTTGTTCCTAACCTCAAACTTTTAACGCGATCTGTTGCGTTTCTCGGTGCATTTTTCTTCGATGGGTCACATCCGTGGCGTAACATCTCACGATTGAATCCAAATTATATAACAGGATATTTTTTTTCTTTACAAAAGTTATCTTTAAATAATACGGCAACAGTAGATTTTTAATTCAAACAGCCGTTCCTGGCAATTTGTACACTTACGATTTTTGTGCCGAATATATCTCGTTTGTTCTTCAAGTGGGTATGTCGAAATATTCATTATGTAAAAAATTCAATTCGGATAATTCGAATGAGGGATTAAAATCCAAGACATTTTTTTGTTGAAGTATTTGTCATCTAAAAAATTAATTCCAATGTTTCAAACGAGGAATTATAGAAACCAAGAATATATTGTTGTAAGCAATAATAGAGATTAAAATTCTGATGCTTTTTTTTTATCGCTCAGAATTATTCGTGAAATATCGGATATTATTTTCAAGAGAACCTGATGCGGCTTTCCATTCTTCTTCTTCGTTCCCGAAAAGTTCAATGCGAGTGGTGTACTACATTTTAAAGTAGAAATGGAAAAGAAAGACTTCAAGTGTGGCCTTTTCAATTTCATTTATACTTTTGTCGAATATGAAACGAAGCGATATTCTTATGGTATTGTAAAAGTAGAAAGTTGACAAATGGAAAGTGGTACGTGGTGAAAAATTGATCTAAGTTTTCAATAAAATATTTATATAATCTCTTTTTTTGGGGGGGGGGGGCAAATTTTGGGCTGACAAAAATTTTATTGACAATTTTGAGCTCGTATCCCGCATCTAACGCTAAACTCTTGCAACACTGAAAGTAGATTAACAGTGTATATGGACATGCATACATGCGTGTAAAATTTGGATTCAAATGTCACTTAACATACACATTATTTATAATTCCGTATAAAAATTATAAAAGTCGTATTCACAATATATAAAGGGACAGTGGTCTTTAACTTAATAGTGCGATAACTTATTCGATAAATTACAGGACAGAGATATGCCAATTATTTAGCGAAATAAAATGGTTGAAATATATATATATGTATATCATATACATATACGTGCATATAATATAAAATACTAAAAAATATATAAATAATACATACATGTATATAAATATATATGTATGTATATTTATATAAAATATTGTACAATAATTTTGTTTCGAAGTTGCCCTAATAAATCAGCAATTGTCATAAATATAATAAAATTGTAATACTTAAATCATTGATGCGATAGAACACAAAATAAGGCTCGGTAGGATTGAGAAAACAACAGGACAAGATGATTCTATCAAGATTATCTTTATATATATGTATGTGTGTATATATATATATATATATATATATCTGATAAAACATTTTTACCTTTGTAGGCAATGGTCGCATCTTTCGTCGCGCACCACCGATCTTACAACATAGGCAAATGGTTTCCCGTACAAAATAGTGGTACCTTTGTTTACAGGTACACGCTTACACCCTTGATTCTTGATTCTCATCGTATCAGACTTCTTGGAGTTTTACCTTCTCGCCGGTTAGCTTTGCGAAGCGAAGACGTCGAGAAGGCGTTGCACTTTCCCTCGTAGCTCTGCAGGACTGCGTCCCTCCTACCATCTCTTTCTTCGCTCTCTTACTTGCTTTGCTGATGTAGAGAGGCTCGAACGCACGCTATTTTAAGATCGGTTTATTTTCGCATGACATATTATTAGAGCTAACTATAATAACCCTTAACCTGCTGATTTCTCATTAACAACCCGCTCTTTCTCTATTATATTTCACAATTAAAACAAGTTTGGAACACCTATTTACAGTCAATTAAGTTAAAAAAAAGGGGGGATTACAGCGAAACTATAGTCAACGGGTCTCTTCTCTCTGGAAATTCGTAGACCTTGGATTCTGGAGCGTGGAAGCATGTGTCCGGTGTTGAAAAACGAGTTTTAGAAACAATCGGTTCGGTTCGCAATTAAAATTAGGTAAATTATAAATACATGGAAAAAAAAACACATTATCCACATCAGATGCAGCGTCGTATGTACAATGCCATTAACCGTCTTATATACCTTATACACCATCATATGTGTGTGTGTGTACGTTTTCCGTGTCTTTTCATTCTAGCTTTACTTTCTAAAATATCGTAGATCGTTTTACTGATTTCGAAGTCTTTGAGTGTTTTCTGTCGTAATGTTAAAATGTAAAAAAACTCAACCGATTAGTCAATATAAAATGATCATTCAAGATTGATGATATCCATGCAATGGACCTCTTTTCTCTCTGATGTACGATTCGCCTAAGATTTCTTGGAGCGCGCACGGGGACAAAGATGGGAGACATGATAATTCACTTTAGCTTTCGTGACAACAACCCAGTGATACATTCTCCATTTTCTTTAAGAATTATTTCTACCATTCTTTTTTATGCTCGTCCATCGATACACCGCCTGGACCTAGAGAGACTATCATCAGAAGGCCACCGATGACTGATAGTGTCTAGAATGAAATACAAAAGTGCATGAGTGTTTGCGTCGAGAGTAAGTTTAAATAATTGGAGTCAAGTTCTATTGATATCGAGCCATACTAAACTTGCAATCATTCCAAAAGTAAATAATTAGAATATACCATTCGAAACAGTTGAAATTAACTCTTCGCAATTTATGAAATTGGCAATTTTCTTCTTATGCAAGTCTTTTTTAATTTTACTTTTAATAATCCCCAAGTTTTTCTTTTACTCTGCACTGTAAAGTACGTTGCGAAAGTAAGATATTAAAGACTTAATCTCTTCATGTTTCGTTGTAATAAGAGTACCCGATATTTTCCAATGATGAGCCAACCAGGGGTCGATACGGTCGCAAAGACTAACCTGGAAGAAGTCGTATTTGAGGAAATCCCTGAGTGGCTTGTAATCGGGAATGGTCCACCACGCGTTATGGTAGAAATTCAATGCGGTTAGTAGAGCGACGAGCAGCAACGCGCTCAGCTTAGTTTTGTAGCCGACCGTCACCAGCACCATCAAGATGCTGCCAACGATATCCTGGAGGATCTGCAGGAAGGATATCTCGAAGCGGATCAGCGTCATGAACATGCACGCCAACAGTATCCGGCCGGCCAATTGTAGTAGACTCTTGGGTTTGTTGTCCCCGAGGCTGGGGACACCGGCGAACAGCGATCTACCCTTGTCTCGGGACTCGGCCACCACCAGCAGGAGCGCACCTATCAGCGCCAAGTTCCTGAACAAGAACTGCATGTCCCATAAGATGCTGTAGGCAATAGTCTGTAGGATCACGATGAAGAAGAGGACTCCGCAAGCTATGCTGACTCGCCATCTGCCAATCACCATGATGCAGCCGCCGAGTTGTCCCACGAGATTTACGAGGACGAAGACGGTGGCCAGGAATTTCCCGCAGCCCCAAGAGGCGTCCATGTACTCCCGTTGCTCGCTCCATTGGAACCACATTCGCAAACCGTCTTCTAGGAATGTAGCGATGAGGCACAGTCGCGCCATCGTCGGAAGCACGTGCTTTCCATTGCGGATTACCTGTTGCAATAAGTGAACATTTTATTAAGTGTCCTGGTCGTGTCTACTTGGTTCAATCGAATCAAAAAGAGATCACGTTAGGGGACGGACGTGATCTGTACAGCTCCGTAAAGGTCTGTGTCCACGATGCTAGGACTTGGT